GGAAACTGCAGCACAGCCGTGGGAGTGCAACACTCCAGGAAACAGATGAGCTCCTGAGACCCGGAATGTCAAGAAGAGCAGCATACTCTTCTTGTGTGTGTCATGTATGCAGATTGGAAACGAAGTATCGGCTTGACTCATGCGGCCCACCCTCTTCCTAGAGCCTGCCTTGCTCCTGTTGCGATTTGCTCATGGAAGAAAAGAAGCACAGCGGATTTTCCATTCGACCTGCAAGCTTCCTGTTCTTTCCGATGTCATCTTTTCTAAACTTCCCCCGTCTCTATTTTCACTAGGGAGCCCAGCAGAGAAGTCCGGCCTCAAGCCCGGAGACCGCATACTGTTTCTCAATGGCCTGGACATGAGGTCAGAATGCGTTACTAGGCTGTGCCACGATATTTACCCATTGCAGTCATCGTTACACAGTCTCAGAGTGCCCACAGGTAGTCTCATCTTGGCAAGGCAGTAAGCCTGCTGGGTCAAGCTTGAGAAGAGCTTTCAATTAGAGGAGGGCACCGGGATGGGATGGTGTGGTCAGGTCCCGATCGGAGTAATTCTTACGCCATAATTCTTACGATTATGGTTTTAGATTTAGGGTAGTGTAGGAGAGACTGGTCAAAAATGGCAGGGATTGTGGTTTACCGTTTTGAAGTATCACTTCCAAATAACACAGGCTTGAGTACAATCATGAATATTTTCTACTTCTAGGGAAGAGAGCAGTGACGTACAGAAAATGTGAGAAGGGGGCATATTGCATTTATACATGCTGTACAAGTCCTATGAGCCCTCTGAGTCAGTGTTGTCAGAGCTGAATCACCAGGAGACATTCACAAAGATCAACTCGCTTCATGCTGGAAGTAAAGCCAGCAATTGTCACTATTGTATAAATTTACAAAAAGATTAAAAAAGGGTTACAGCTTATTTTTAGAAGGCAACTGCAACGTGTGCTGAGATTGTTCGGCAGCCATAAGCAGTACGAGTGAAATGTGGGTTTCCCATTCTACAGATTATTCTTGTACCATCAAAAGCTGGCCCTATTAAATTGAACCTTTTTTAGCCTTAATTGTTCATTGCTTCTGTGTGCAACGCAGATGTGATTGCAGACTGCAGGAAGAGCATGCTATAAATCTGTGACCTAGGACCATGGGTTTTTTCTGCTTACAGCTTGTAGGAGCAGGTAGAAAGAAGGTGAGATCTGTCACTGTGTATCCAATGGGGCTGCTGGTTTCAAGTTGCAGATACATATTCATGAAAGAGCTGAAGGTTGGGTCATTGACTGCTGTCTGTGTCTGCTTCCCAGGAGCTGCTCCCATGAGAAAGTGGTATCCATGCTGCAAGGCAGTGGTGCCATGCCCACACTGGTGGTAGAAGACGGGCCCACAAACTTCACACTGGGTGAGGCAGAGCCCTCCGTAAGGCTGTAACCCTGCAGAGTGCAAGCCTAGCATCGGGGTCCTTGCAAATCTGCACGCAGGAAAAAGTTGGGTTTTTTTACTGTAAATCCCATCATGTATTTTCAACCAGGACTATTTGTCACAACGGTATTTTTGAGCCAATAAACACAAGATCTACATCGATTTGGCCAATGGCGACTGCTTGAAAAAGCTTTCGATGAGCTCTTGAGCACATCATTGCCAACGAGAGTTATCAAACAGCCAGAGTCATCAAACACTTCTCTTGCTCGTATTCCGATACGTATACCCTGCATAGCCTTATTTGCCGCGTAGGGATCTTCAAACATTTTCAGCGACACATTACAGCTCCTACACATAATTAGAAAGCTGCTGGGTAAGGCAGAACCTGTCTTCACCCTCTCTCTCAGACTGTCAGTTCGGCGCTGGTTTATTTGACTGTCTGTGTGCTTATGCTTGTGCCCGGCGCTGACGACGGGGCTGTCTGCGTGCCTGCCTGCTCAGAGCCGGAGCCGGACAGCTCCCCGCCCCGCTCTCGCTCGCCGGTGCTGAGCTCCTTGCAGTGGGTGGCTGAGATCCTCCCGCCCAGCATCAAGGTGCATGGCCGCACCTTCAGCCAGCAGCTGGAGCATCTGCTCACCCACCAGGAGCGCTACACTATCTGCAAGGCCCTGGAGACCTTCTTCCAGCACAGGTACGGCTCAGACATCGGCACTGGCTTTGCAATCGAGAAGGAACCTCGTATCCTAATAGGTTCCCAACAGCTGTCTTTAGTACATTTCTACCTTCAGAGATCTGGCTGATCTCGAACACGTAGCTCCCCATCCAATCACAGCGCTATAGGAAACAGAACTGTCTTCCAGCTTCTCATTCCACCTTTTAACTCCCAACCTGTCCTAGAAAAGTGTTGATTCTAAGATATCTCCTGTACATTTCTACTGTTAAAGCAAGAAAAAGTGCATTACGCTTCAACAATGTGTGAGACCTTGCTGTTCTCCCGTCTTTCGGGTGAGACGTTAAACCGAGGTCCTGACTCTCAGGGGTCATTAAAGATCCCCGGGCATTTTTTAATAAGAGTAGGGAGTTATCCCGGTGTCCGGGCCAAATTCCCCCCCCCGGCCTTTACCGTGGCCTCCCAATTGTCCCCATGTATGATCGGCTTTCTCTTGCACTGCGATGGACTGGCGTCCCATCCAGGGTGTACCCTGCCTCGTGCTCGTTGCTTGCTGGGTAGGCTCCGGCTTCCCGTGACACCGTATGGTATAAAGCGGTTTGGTAAATGACATGACATGACCTTGCTGTTCTCTAGAGGTCTGTGTAGAGTCACTTCAATCCCCCTCAGTTGTCTCTGTGCCCCCTCCTTCCTCCTGTGTCCAGGAATGTGGACACTCTGATCGTGGACGTGTTCCCAGTACTGGACACTCCAGCCAAGCAGGTGATCTGGCAGTTCATCTACCAGCTGTTGACCTATGAGGAGCAGGAGCACTGCCAGCACAAGATCGCCCGCTTCCTGGGATACAAGACCATCGCAGGTACGAGAGGGGCCGGTGGGACGCCCTGAGCGCGGGGCTGCCTGCGAGAATGTGCGTGGGCTTGCGTCTGTCTCCCCCTCGGCCTCCGCGCATGTGTCGGCGACAACGCAGAGGCGCGGTTTCCGGCCGCGCGGGAGTGATCCTGACAGCCCTGTCTGTGTGCCGCGTCCCCAGTGCCGGCGGCGGCGGCGACGACGGAGCCCGAGCCGGCCCCCGACACTCACCGGCGCAGCAGCTCCATGAGAGTCACCTCCACCACCTACCGCAGTAGCGTCCGCGGGAGGAGTTCCGACGACTGCATCCTAGGTACAGTCCAGCCGCGCCAGTGTAGGTGCTCCTTCTGACCTGCTGGTGGCAGCAGTGAGCGAGCAGGCAGGACTCTCAACTGGTGCAGTCAGTCAGATAACTGGGATGAAACCATAGCCACCTCATGGCCTTTGATTGGCAACTCAGTCATTTACCCAACACTGATGCTGCTACTACAGCTTTTACTCACTACGAGAAATACCATAGGAGGTCCTCAATCCTATCCTGAATAGCCCTTTGCAAGTAAAGTGTCACGTTCTCGTGTGTAAATGTCAGCCAAAAGTTCACTGTGTCGCCTGGGATCAGCAAATAGCTTGGCTTATGTAAGCCACTCTGTGACCCACAAGCTGAGCTGTATGGCAGTGTGCCGAGTCTGTGTTAAGAGATCACACATTATCCCGGACAGCAAACACAGATAGTTCTGTAATCCCTCATCGGGGAATTAGGAGGTGGCATTGTGAGGAGAAGGGGGGGGGATAGTGACCAGGTGAGCCTGGATACAGTGGCTCCTCTGTTGTTCTGCAGTGTAACATGGCTCTGTGCTGAAATGGTATCCATGCCAGAGTCAGAGAAAGCTCTCTGTTAGCGTGCAGAGTGGGATCCTCTGGTAAGGTAAAAAAAAAAAACATTCCTTGCTGTCATCTGATACATTTTTATTACCAATGAGGAATTATTCCTTTCCTTTTAGTTGGTACATAATTTACCGTTATTTCTCCTTTCTCCCTCTTCATTTGGACCATCGCCAATGAGATCTGTGGATCCTTGCCTGTGGATGGTGCTCTGTCGGGTCCAGCCATCGTTTTATACGCTGGTTAGACGGGGAGGAGTGATCTGCATCTTGCAGGCAGCTGGCATCCTGTATAATCACTGTTGCAAAGCATGCTGGGAGCTCCCCCCAGAAACCGCTAGCAATAAATGGCCAACTTGTAAAACCTTTTCATTGGGAACCCCAGCCACGGCTGGATAATGGTATAGCCCAGATTGATGTTCACCTTGTCATTTGGTGCTTTTGTTCAACTTCATAGTAAAAAAAACAACATTTTCTGATCTCACTCTGTTCAGGTTGAAAGAAAATGAGATGTGGTGATGTGGTGAAGAATGGCCAACTGAGAAAGAAAATATCCCTATTCTAGGGCTGTGTCTTATACTACAGTGAAGAAATCAAGGCCTTTTTTATCATTCTGAAAGCTTTAAAAAGGATATTGACATTATTGAGGTTGCAATTAGAGAACTCAATGAGAGGAATTGGCCATTGCCTTAGGCCTTGTTAATAACTCTTATCTCTGGAGAAGGATGTGTTTCCACTGCATGCATTTTCAAGCGAACAAGTGAGCAGAAATGGAGAAAATTGTATAAATCATAGTTATGCAGTCTGAGGGTGTTAGGATGGTCCGTCAAACAAAATATTTTCAAAGTTTTGGGCTCAGTTTGAGAATTTCAGTGTATGCGCGTGTTTGTTGGGATTTGTTTCTGCTTTAGGAAGGAAGTAACAGTATGTGAGCTGGATCCACAGGGAGAATGGGAGTCTCTGAGGTCGCCTCTTTCCACTGTCGCATTAGCACAGTCAGGTGTGTAAGGGCTGAAGGCTGAATCCAGCCTGCAGATTTGCAATCAGACAGCATTCTCTTCAATGAAGAATCACTGTCCGTCCTTCA